GGCTGAAAGTGTTACAAAGTTTCAAACTGCCAGCTCAGAGGCCGGCAGCGCAGGCGCAGGCGGGGAACGTTGGCTTCCTCCTTCAATGAAGGAAGCAAGCCTCATGTTCGCTTTAAGCTGCCTGGCTGCCGGCCGCCATCTTGGCTGACAGTTAATTTGCATATCTCCCTGATTAGCCAATGAAAAGGGTAGCGGTCGTACGCCAATTACCATGTTTCTCTTTTATTAGTGTAGATATATAAACTAGAGGCCTGATGCACGAAAATTTGTGCAAGAGTAGGCCTTCCTTCCCCTAGCTGCTGGTACTAGCTTCCCTCCGGCAGCCGGGATCTGGGCTGCTTCCCTCTGGCCCTGGCTTTGTCCAGAAGGACATCCAGAATAATGCCTGGAAGGACATCTGGTCTAATTAGCATATTACCCTTTTATTAGTATAGATGATACCTTTTACTCCAAAACCATTCTCTTTGTTTGGCTGAAAAGGTAGGTTTCTGCTGGCTCAATGGTCTCCTTGAGTCACAAAGAAGACTCTGGTTCTACTTGGGCCCATATAGGTATAAGGACAGGGACCCATCAAGGGGTCAAGTCCTTTGAGAACTCCTCTCAGAAAAAAAACAAAAACAAATTGCCAGAGAGAATCTTAGCCAGAGTTACTGAGGGCGTGAGAGAGAGGCTGAAATGACCTGTTAGTTCTTCTTTTCTTGGCTGGCCTAGTCCAAGGGGCTATTATCTAGAGAGTGTCTGGAAGTCTGCCTGGTGGTCTCTCAGGCAAAGCTCCTGAACTATAATTTCTCTTCGGGAGCTTCGAGCAGGTGTGGAGGGGACAGCCAATCTGAGAATGTTCTCCTTGACGTGTTTCTGGGGTTCACCAGTGAACACACACTAAGGGGAGAATTATGCCCTCTTGTGCAAGCAGAGGGACTGCCAAGAACATAGTCTAAACACATGATCATTCCATCCGCATATGGACACCTCCCTAAGCTGGAGCTAGAATCTCCTCAAAAGATGTTTAAGGTCTATTCCACCAAACCTAACCAACACTCTAAGCCCCTAAGCCCCCATCAGCAAACAAAGCTGTACAAGTTTTAGCCTGATGATTCAGGTTCCAAGTTAAAGCCCATAATGAAAGGAGCTGGAATCTCTCCAGGCCGCCTGGGACACAGCTATGGGCTCAGAGGAGTCTGAGCTTTGCCACAACTTTCATTCCTGTGTTCCCATCAAATTGGCTTTTTGAGGGAAGCGAAGTCCCTGCCAGTCCGGAAGGGAATTGCTGAGTGTCTGCTTCTAGGGCACACTTCCCCGGTGCTGGGCCAGAGGATGGCTTGCAAGGAGCAATACATCCTGAGGGGAAAGAGGGAAGGAACCCACAGACATGTTCCAGGTCTGGTAAGAGCATTTCTCTTCTAGACAGGTAGGTGGCAAGATGGGTACAGGATCTCAGTCACTGGCTGTCAGGACACAATAAAAAGTCCTGAATCACTTGGTCCAATCCTCCTCGCTTGGTAGGCCAGGGGCCCAGAGATATTAAATTAATTAACCTGCCCAGTGTCATAGAGCTACTTAGAGCAAATGCAGAACTACAACTCAGGATTCCAGACACCAAAGCTGAGTTCTTTCCCTCCCACTGCCTCATTTGAGCACCTAGCATGGGCCTCCACATATGGTAGATGCTGTTACTATAGCTCCCCCTTCTCTGTTCCAATGTGAGGGTGTCTGGTGTCCCTGGGGCTTCTTTGCTTTACCATCCCCTTTCTGGGGGCTTGACAAGGCTCACACCATGATCTGTATCTTGTTTCAGCGATGCGGGCCCTTCTCTCTGTCCCAGGCCTCCTAGCCTCCCTGGCCTTGCTCCACGCTGCAGCATCTGCCACAAGTGGTAAGTGCCTCCCTGTATTGTCTTCCTGGGGCTACTGCAGCAAAGGACCACAAACTGGTTGGCTTAAGACAACAGAAAGTTATTTTCCTACAGTTTAGTAGGTTAGAAATCCAAAATCAAGGTGCCAGCAGGATGCTCCTCTGAAGACTCCAGAGCAGCAATTTTCAGCCGGTGTACCGCAAGAATTTTTAACACATGCAATACCATACTATTTAGGGCACTGACCTCTTTTCCCTTAGATTGTCAAATTAAAAAAATGACAACGGTCGGTCAACACAACAATAGCAGTCAGGGGTGAATGCCCTGTCTTGAACCATAAATACATAGGTCATATAATAGAGTTGCATCTTATTGGTCACATCACATAAGGTTGCATCTGATTGGTTAATTACTGGTACCAGAAAGTTTCCTAATCTTGATCTTCTGCTTGCTCAGATTTGAGGGACTGTGTGTGTTGGGGTGGGGGAGGTGGATGAGAAAGAGGGACAGAAGCAGAGGGCATCTCCCAGGAGTGGCATCTGATACCTTCTGCTTGTTTCTTCCCCTCCAAGAACAGGCCACCAAGACTGCTACCATGTCTTATGTTGTGAGTCAGGTCAAGGTCCAAGTCAACAAGGCCTTCCTGGATTCCCGGACCAGGTATTTGAGACACAAAGAAGAAGGTTTCCATGGTGGCAGGGGAGGGAAACGCCTAGTATTTCAGCAACTGTCTCCAAATGAAAATTCTCTCCCCCTCCTTAATGTCAATCCTCTTATCACCCCAAGCTGGGGATTGAATAAAAGCCACAAAGTCAGTGATCATCACCTCCCATGCAAGTCATGCATAGGATGACCAGCCTGTTTAGAACTTGTCCTCATTTATTAGCCCTTGGACTTGGGGGCCTCATGGAGATGTAAAGAATCACATTTAAACAGCTTGTTACACAAGCACATCAACAATCCAGTAATCATGACTGGCGATGGAACGAAGGCATCAACAGAGCAATGGTTGCGACTGCAGGTACAGGAGTCAGGGAAGCCGGATGGAGGATGAGAAGGAGCCAGCCCTGTGGAGAGGCAGAGGGATGGCATTCCAGAGACTGGAACAGCAAAGGCAAAAGTCCTGGGGCAGGAAAGAGGTTAGGGTTCCTTCTTATGAAGGTTGGGGCAGGCTGGAAGGGGACAGGCCTGGTGATTAGAGCCTGGTTATCACAGTCCCTATGCTTGGCCCACATGCCCACATAACCCCTCAGGCTGAGACCCCGTGTCCCCTCACACTGGAAATGAGTTAATAGTGACAGGCCAGGTGTTCAGCCAGTGAATTGTACCCCTAAAGCAGCGTTGTCTTCTGTGTGAATTCGAGTCTCTTCCAATATTGCAGATGACCTCAGAGAACCCCTTCAGCTCATGCATGAAGAAACTGAGGCACAGGGAAGGGGAGTGTTCTCATGAGGGGACTTTTCAGACACCACCTTGCCTTGGTCATCTCTGTACCATCACAAGCTTCTTAGTAAAAGGGTTTGGGCTTCTCATTTTACACATGGGAAATTAAGGAATAAAAAGGCTTAACATCTGGCCCAAGAAATGGCCAGCAAGAGGCCGGGTGCTAGGCCCACATCTAAACAAACTCCACACCAACTCTAGGGCCACAGGTGATTAAGAATGCTCTCATGGGCATGCCATTTCTAGAATTCTCCGTCCACAAGGCTCCGTGAGATGCTAGGTCCATGTCTGGGGTCCTCAGTCGGAATCTGTATGTCCTGGGACTTAGGTGTTTTTAAGGTTCCCCAATCAATTCTGCCACAGTCAGCACAGCCACAACCCTCTGGTTCTGATCCAGGCAGCACTCAGTCCATCTGCCGTTCCTCTCTCGGAGCCAGACCTGACAAAGCTTAAAGGCACACGGCAGCTTCCTCCTCCCAGAATAGCTTTTCCAGAGCCATCAGAAGAGAACGGAGCAAAGATCCTGAAAGCACTCCCTCCGTGGCCTCCCCATACACACACCACCTCACACCCCTTCTACAGACCAGGGCCCGGGAGGCCCGGTCATGACTCCCCCCTTGCTCTTCACTGTAGGCTGAAGACTTCCATGAGCAATAAGGCAGCCACCACCCGACAGCTCTCAGAGTACCTCAAGCATGCCAAGGGCCGGACGCGCACAGCCATCCGCAACGGGCAGGTGTGGGAGGAGTCCTTAAAGAGACTGAGGCAGAAAGCGACCTCCACCAATGTCACAGGTACAGAAAACCCACTAGCCCGCTGAGGGCAGGAAGGGGTGGTCTCCTCTCAGGAGAGAGCAGAAGGCACCAAAAGTTGCTTTCCCTCTGAAGAGCCATTCCTCAGAGAAGCGCTCCTGTCTCTCCCTTCTCAGAATTGCAGAGCAAGGTGGGGCTCAGAGGGCAGTGAGGCCAATGCTCTTTTTTGGCAGAGAAAGGAACTCAGAGCCCAGCAAAGCCACACTGTCAACTCCAAGTGAGGGGACATGCGTGCTCTGGGTATACCATCTATGAGGCCTCTATCCAGAGGAAGTACTAACGTCAGTGAACACGGGCTCCCTGTTCCAAACCACAGTGTCACCACTCTCTGCCTGTGAAGGGGACATTTAAGCCACCTGTGTCTGGGGCATTTACAGGAGATGAGATTTCCAACTTGATCTGGGTAACGTGGAGCTGGAACAATGAGCTGATGGATCGATCCTGAGTTCCTCCGCCCCCACCCCCTACCCAGTGTCACAGCTCATGGAGAGTCATGGAGGAAGGGGTAGGTTCTGACATCCAGTGAGGAAAGATACACGGCCTAGGACTTGGGCAAATCCCCAAGTTCCCAAAGAAGGAAACTGGGACAAGGTGAGGAGAAATAGGGAGCCCTTTGGACTCTGAGACTCAAAGGTGCTGGGGGTTGAACCCCGGTCTTTGCAAACTTTCACAGCTGGTCCCCGAGAAGAAGCCCCTTGGGCCAGATTCCCTCGCCTGTCTTTCATTGTAGTCACTGGGACGGAGCACGGGCTGCATGAGGAGGTTGGATCTCTCTCCATTCTGTGCCCACATGGAGGCCACTGATGCTTACCCCCACCCCCCACCCCCCGTCACTATGTTACTGCTCCCAAGACCACAGTGCACCTCACTTAAAAATGACCTGTTCTGGGGGGAGAGATCAACCAAAGGACTCATATGCTAGCATATAGGCCTAACCAATGGACACAGACAACAGGGGGGTGAGGGCATGAGTCGGGGGGATGGGGAGCAATGTGGGGATAAGGACACATATGTAATAACTTAATCATAATTTTAAAAATAATAAATAAATAAAATAAAAACAATAATTTTAAAAAATGACCTGTTCCTCCCCAACATCTTTCCTATCTAGATTCCTGCTTGCTCGTTACTGTAGATGTCAGAGAAGCTTTAGAAGAAAAGCAATCTTATCAAACTAACTCATACTAACTTGTGCTTAACCTCTCGGGGGGTATTTCTATTCTAAACAAAAGATCTTCAATTCAAATGACCTTGCAAAGAATTACTAACAATTCTGGGGACTCGGCAGTTACTATCTGTGTGGCCTGGGGCAAGTCTCTGAGCACTGAGGTCTCAGTTTCTTCCTGTAAAATGGGAATTTAAATTCTTACCTTAATGAATTGTCAGCATTAGATGAGAAACCACCTCGGGAATGTTTGCTTAGAACATAGAATGTATTCCAAAAAGTGTACGTTCACCCCTGGTTTCCCTTTCCTGCCTCCCCCAGTGCGTCCGAGCGGAGAAAGAACTCAGCCCCTTGGGCATCCCTTCTGTTTCAGACCCCAGCCTGGACTTGACTGCACTCTCCTGGGAGGTGGGCTGTGGGGCCCCTGTTCCTGAAGTGATATGCGACAACAGCTCCTACCGCACCCTTACAGGAGACTGCAATAACCAGTGAGTGGGCTTGGTAGCTACGGGGGACATGCCCTCCTACTGCCACAGCCAGCCCATCTGCCTTACCCAGCCCACCTGCCTCACCCTGCCCACCTGCCTTACCCTGCCCACCTGCCTCACCCTGCCCACCTGCCTTACCCAGCCCACCTGCCTCACACTGCCCATCTACCTCACCCTGCCCACCTGCCTCACCCTACCCACCTGCCTTACCCAGCCCACCTGCCCAGCCCAGCCCAGCCCAGTCAGGGGCTTTGCCCCTTGGGCATTCCAGGCCCAGCCACTGCCTTACCCTCCTAAACTTGGGGCGCCACTGGAGTCTGTTCTGTTGGAACCGTCTCTTAACTCCCATCTTCTAAAGAGACCACCTGATCCCACTGGAGGCAGCACCCTTCCCCAGGGCGTAGGAGCCCCGCGCCTGCAGGGGCTGGGGGTAGTTCCGAACCCCCACCCCCACCCCGTTTGAGAGGCGCCTCCTCCGCACCCCCTTTCCCTCGGCAGAGGCTCTGATCCTTCCTCATGGGATCCCCGAGGGGTTTGCGAGAAGCAAACCCCGGAGTGGACCGGCCGCGGCTGAGGGCGGGTCCTGCGGTTTTAGGAGGAACCCCGCGCTGGGCGCTGCCAACAGGGCGCTGGCGCGCTGGCTGCCGGCGGAGTATGAGGACGGGCTCTCCCTGCCCTTCGGGTGGACGCCGGGGAAGACCCGGAACGGCTTCCGGATCCCCCCTGCCCACCTGCCTCACCCTACCCACCTGCCTTACCCAGCCCACCTGCCCAGCCCAGCCCAGCCCAGTCAGGGGCTTTGCCCCTTGGGCATTCCAGGCCCAGCCACTGCCTTACCCTCCTAAACTTGGGGCGCCACTGGAGTCTGTTCTGTTGGAACCGTCTCTTAACTCCCATCTTCTAAAGAGACCACCTGATCCCACTGGAGGCAGCACCCTTCCCCAGGGCGTAGGAGCCCCGCGCCTGCAGGGGCTGGGGGTAGTTCCGAACCCCCACCCCCACCCCGTTTGAGAGGCGCCTCCTCCGCACCCCCTTTCCCTCGGCAGAGGCTCTGATCCTTCCTCATGGGATCCCCGAGGGGTTTGCGAGAAGCAAACCCCGGAGTGGACCGGCCGCGGCTGAGGGCGGGTCCTGCGGTTTTAGGAGGAACCCCGCTCTGGGCGCTGCCAACAGGGCGCTGGCGCGCTGGCTGCCGGCGGAGTACGAGGACGGGCTCTCCCTGCCCTTCGGGTGGACGCCGGGGAAGACCCGGAACGGCTTCCGGATCCCGCTGGTGAGGCCCCAGCAGGAGGGTGAAGGGTGGGAGTCAGAGGGGAGCAGATGCGCTCCCCACCCATAAAACAAGGAAGAAGAAGGAATAGATGGGAGGACAGCGGGTGCGCGATGGGGCCGCAGCGGGAGAGATGGACGTTAGGACTCGCTGCCGGGCGATGCTCCTCAGCTGCCACGAGAGGGCAGCAGAGCGCAGAGCCCGGAGCCGAGCCACGTGGCTGTCCCATCCCAGTTGCCCACGGGCCAGATACCCTGGGGCCTCCTAGGCAGATGGCCTCCCTACCCCATCCTGCTCATGCTTTCGCTGCCCCGGCCCCCGGAGTGCATCAGCTGTTGTTTGCCTGGAGGTCCTCTCCCTTGGCCTCCTCTGAGTTGGCAGCCCCTCCCCTGAGCCCCTCCCGGACACCTGGCACTTCAGAGGCAGCGCCTTTGTTTTCCTTCTCCCTAGTGGAAAGCGCACTAGCCTTGCAAGCCCTCAAGTCATACAAGCCTGTGTTTAATCCCATCCCTGTCCCTTTGTAGCTGACCTTGGAGAATTGACCTCACTTCTCTAGGACCCAGTTTCATCTACAAAACGGGGGGAATGCCACATACCTCACAAGCTTGCCATGAGGATTAAATAAGTGCTCCTTATTTAATCGCAGGAACTCAAAAAACTGCAGTTGAATCTGGATCCTCAAAGCACTTTTTCCTCCAACCCTCCCTTCCCTCCCTTCCCCTCCCGCAGGCCCGTGAGGTATCCAACCAGATTGCCAGCTACCTGAATGAGGAGGATGTTCTGGACCAGAACACGTCCCTGCTCTTCATGCAGTGGGGTCAGATTGTGGACCACGACCTGGATTTTGCCCCCGACACTGAGCTGGGGAGCAGCGAGTACTCCAAAGAGCAATGTGACAAGTACTGTCTCCAGGGAGACAACTGCTTCCCCATCGTGGTAGGCCCTGCGGCTGAGCGTCCCTGACAAGCCCTTGCCTTCCTGATTGGCCCGTCATTTCCGGCCCATCAGCCAGGCTCTCTAAGTAGATTGTGAATGCTGATTTGACCGCTTCCCGGTCCTCACAGGTCCATGCATTCACTCATCCATTTATTCAGTAAATAGACATTAATCATTTACTTCGTGCCAGGCAGTGCGCTATGTGCTGGAGATTCAAGGGCGAATAAGACACTGTCCCTTCCCACAAGGACAAAGGGCCCCTGTGGGAAATGGACAAGTAGCCTCTAATGATACAATCAGGGAGCTCTGGGGAGGGCTGTCTACGTCCCCAACCAGCAGCATTGGCACCACACAGGGACATGGGAGAATGTGAAATCTCAAGCCTCACCCCAGGCATTGGGGAACAGAACCTGCGATTCACCAGGATCCCCAGGAGATTCCTTTTACGCACAGTCAAGTTTGTGGAACTCTGCTGTGATACGTCATCTTGAGGTCCAGGAAGGCTACTCCCCCCAAAAGCTAAAACTTGATGGATCAGAAATAGTAGGGATTTCCAGCAGGAAGGGAGAGGGACCTGCAGTGGTGCCCCTTTTCTTCTTATTCATGGATTTTAGGGTTAGAGGGTGATTCTTTTCACTCAAACAACAAACGAATCAAGGCTAGGTGGCATGATGGAAAGAACCTGAGCTGTGGAGTGAGGCCAATCTGGATCTGAATCTCACATGTTTCTCTTCAAGTTTGTAAGTTTTGGGGCAAGGTACTTAACCTTTCTGAGCTGAGCTCAGTTTTCTCACCTGTAAATGGGCCTGAATTAGCTACCTTACGGGGTTCTATGAAGACCAAAGGTAGAAAGTATGCAAAATGCCTCGCACATGATAGTTATAAAATACATACATGGTAGCTGCTGTTGGTAGCAGTGATTAACAAACCTGTTCCTATCTCATGCCCTGCTTCCCTGTCTGGGATCTTAGGACTCTCTCCACCAAAAATGTGAAGCCCTGTCTCTGAAAGGTTGAAGGATTCCCCTCAGCCCTTTTACACAGCAGGATGTAATGAGCTTCAGGGCTGTGGGCCCAGGATGTGTAAGCATCCGCAGGGGGTGTCTAGAGTCAATGTCTGATACTCGGGTCCCAGGAGGACACCATCAGCATCTTTGTCAGCTTCATCCAGATCTGCCCAGGGGAGAGGTTGCCTGAGCCGGCTGTACCACCTCTGCCCAGTCTCCCACCCCCAATCTCTCCGCAGCTCCCGCACGATGACCCCAAGGTGATGACTCAAGGGAAGTGCATGCCTTTCTTCAGAGCGGGGTTTGTCTGTCCCACTCCGCCTTACCAGACCCTGGCCCGAGAGCAGATCAACGCTCTGACCTCCTTTCTGGATGCCAGCTTAGTGTACGGCCCCGAGCCCAGCCTGGCCAGCCGCCTCCGCAACCTCAGCAGCCCCCTGGGCCTCATGGCTGTCAACCAGGAGGTCTGGGACCACGGGCTGGCCTACTTGCCCTTTGACAAAAAGAAGCCAAGCCCCTGTGAGTTCATCAACACCACTGCCCGCGTGCCCTGCTTCCTGACGGGTGAGTCCAGGATGGAATGAGCGGGGCCCCAGGACAAGGGGAGGGAGAGCAGAGGGAGGCCAGAGAAACCTCACGAGGACTCCAGGCAGCTTTTCCATGGCTTCCTCTCATCATCTTCTGGAAAAATGCACACCAAGCCTGGCAGACGGGCCCAGATGAATACAAAATCTAAGAACATGTGTTCACTGTAAAAAAAAATTTAAGGGAGTCCAGATAAGCACTAAGAAAATCAACAAAATTCCACCACCCACAGAAAGTCATTGTTAACATTTTAATGCCTATCTTTCTGTTTTTTTCTATTATAGCTACAGTTCTACATCATTTTACATAATCAGTGTCATACAGTAATGCTCTATAACCTGGTGTCTGCACTTAATATTTCATCTTAAATATTCTTCTACAACATGATTTTTAATGGCTGCCTGATATCCCATGACATACCACCATAATTTATTTTATCAACCTTACTTGGAGACAGTTTAGTCATTTCTAGTTTTTCTGTGATTTTTGTTGTTGTTTTTAGGTAATGAACATCCTTGTTGATGAATTTTTGTGCTCATTTGAATAATTTTATTAAGATAACTTCCTAGAGGAGGAAGTTCTAGATTAAGAGGAATGTATATTTTTACGGTTTTATAAGCTTGGCACAAAGTCCACACTCCAGATAGCCTGTGCACACCAAAGCCCCCCAATTCTGTTCATTCAGGGACTCATGCCCTCCTGGTCCTCTCTGTCTTTGGCTTCTGGAGGCCTTCCCTTTGCCAAAACTTCACTCTCCCAGGACAAACCCCCTGCCCACCCTGGCATGGCAGAGATTTCTTCGTAGATCTCTTAGATTCTGTGTCCACACGTATCTCTTATCAGTCTAGACACAAAACCGAGCCCCTTCCTGTTTTCCACAAAAATACCCACTAAGACCAAGCATTTGTGAATTCAACAGACTTTCCTGATGATTAGAGGACACACGGAGCAGTCCCCTTGTGAAACATCTGGTCTTTTACCATTTACCTGACCCCCCATCCTGTTCCTCCTTCCCTCTCTCCCTCTTGGTAGCCCCCATCCCCACATTCTTCTTCCTTTACCACACAGAGGAGTTGAGCCCTACCCAGGCTCCTGCCCTCAAACCTGCATTCCTAAAACCTTCAAAGTTGCTTCACACAGTAAAAAGCCCCCCATCCCCCCACTTTTAGCCACACCTAAACAATGTGTGTGTGTGTGTGTGTGTGTGTGTGTGTGTGTGGAGCCCAGATTCAACCCTATGGATCCCCACCGTGCCCTCTCTCCACCTGACTTCCCTTAAGTTAACTTCAAGCAGGGGCTTAGGAGCGGGTCCCCGGGGGCACCACCATTTATGTTTTTGTGCAGGTCACTGGGTTCTGGGGCTGCTCAGGGGGAACCCACCTTCCTGCCTTCTGGGCTTTCAGGGGATTCCCGAGCCTCGGAGCACATCCTGCTGGCCGCCTCCCACACCCTCTTTCTCCGAGAGCACAACCGGCTGGCCCGGGAGCTGAAGAGGCTCAATCCTCAGTGGGATGGAGAGAAGCTCTACCAGGAAGCCCGGAAAATCCTGGGGGCCTTCGTGCAGGTACAGAGTCCCAGCACCTTCCTCACAGGCCCTCCTGGCGCTTCCCTCTGCTCGCTGCCACACTCAGGCTACCTCCTCTGTGTGTCACACTTCCATTTCCCCATCTTCTCCTCCGCTGCTTCTTGCCAATTGTCTCGGTCTTCGAAGTCCTCCCTTTTGTTTCTTCAACTTCTCTTCCCCCAAATGAATCTCCGGATCTAGAGTATTCAACAGTCATTCATGTGTTGGTCACTCAGTATGCCTCCGGGCTGGTGCCTACAGGGGACTGTAGGTTCCATTGCTCCTGGAATTGGTACATAGCAGTTATTTTGGTTCTTTATTTAGATTATCTTTTTTTTTTCAATGCTCTGCACCTAAGCCACATGTCATAGGCATAGTCAATTGTTCTTGTTGACTGGCTGATTGACTAACTAGAAAAGACTCAGAAAGCTTGATATGTTGATATTAACCATGTACGTATTTTCAAAATAAAAATTTTGAAATAATTGTTGATTCTCAAGAAGTTGTAAAAAATATATATATGCACCCAGCCTCCCCCAATGCCAAGATTATGTATAACTATGGTACAATATCAAAAGCAGGGAGTTAACATGATACAAATCATGGCATTTATTCAGATCTTACCAGTTATAAATACAGGCATGCATGTATGTGTGTGTGGGTGTGTGTAGCTCCATGCAATTTTATCACATATGTTGGTTCATGTAACCACCACCACAATAAAGATGCTTAACTCCACCATAACCACAAAACTCCCTTATGATACCCTTAATAGTCACATCCACCCTCCCCTTGCCATACCCCCAACCCTTGGCAACCACTAATCTGTTCTCCGTCTCTACAGTTATGTTATTTCATGAATGTTACATGAACGAAATCATGCAGTATGAATCCTTTTGAGACTGGCTTTTTACATTTAGTATAATTTCCTTGAGGTTCATCCTGCTGAAGATATTTGTAGGAAATTATCCAAAGAATAAAAACTATCTACCTAAACATTATCTGAGTTTAGGCTTGTATTCGTTTATGCAGGCTTCCAGGAATTTATTTTCTCACAGTTCTGGAAGCTGGAAAATCAAGGTGTTAGCAGGCTTGGTTTCTCATGAGGCCTCTTTCCCTGGCTTGCAAGATGGCTGCGTTTCCTCTGTGCCCCCACATGGTCTTTCCTCTGAGCATGCACCAACCTGGTGTCTCTCCCTCTTCTTAGGACGCTGGTCCTATTGGTTTAGGGCCCCACCCTTATGACCTCATTTAACCTTAGTTACCTCTTTACAGGCCCAATCTCTGAACACAGTAGGGGTCAGAGCTTCAACATGTGAATTTCGGGGGGACACAATTCTGTCCACAGTAAGGCTTTTTGGACAACAAGAAAAAGAAACCCACTCAGGCTAGTGCAATGTTCAGGACTGGTTCAATCCTATACATGTGTCAAGTGGGAGCTGATAAGGGTTTCTACTGGAACTCCAGGAAAGGGAGTATAGTTGGGCCTCAGTTAGGGTTAGAGCCAGAGACGGGAACCCATCTGGAATGAAAGCAGCTACTCTCACTCTGTCCCTCTCTCCTCTCTGCTCCCCTTTCCACTTCTTTGTTCCCCACTCTCTCTGTGGACAGGTTTTCTCTGCTTTTCTGCACATGGTAGAAAATGAAAACCCATATGCCCAGTCCCCCCCCCCCCCCCCCCCCCCCCTCGCCCCCCCCCCCCCCCAGCCCCCGTCCTTTCAGATCAAGTGGCATCAAACTGGGCCAGTCCACTGTGGCCTAAAGCAGGATTCTGTCTCCTGCTGCTCCCCATAGCCCGAGGAGCAGGCCGCCTGCTCCAAGGATGCCCTCCACAAAGTCTGTGCTGCTAAACAAATTGGAAATAACCTAAGAGTAAAAGAGTAAGAGAAGGACCCATGAGTGCAATAGAATATTATACACATGTAGTTATATCATCGTGAGTTAGGTAGAAATGTGATAAATGTGAAGTGAAAAAGCCAAATGCAAAAGTTAGCATTCTCTAGGATTACAACTATGTAAAATGTATATTGTATCGACAAATATTAGAAAGACTAAACATTAATATAATTATTGTGTCATGTGGTGGCAAGATTTTCTATTTTTTGAAAAAATACTTAATTTATGTTAGTTCATTGTTTTCAGTAAAACAAAACCAGAAACTGATCTCTCCATGGTGCAGCATTTCTCACACCCTTTCCTCATGACTTGTTTCTCCTTCCAGATCATCACCTTTAGGGACTACCTCCCCATTGTGCTAGGTGTGGAGATGGAGAAGTGGATCCCTCCTTACAGAGGCTACAATAAATCTGTGGACCCCCGAATTTCCAATGTCTTCACCTTTGCTTTCCGCTTCGGCCACTTGGAGGTTCCCTCCACTGTGTCCCGCCTGGATGAGAACTACCAGCCATGGGGTCCAGAACCAGAGCTCCCCTTGCACACCCTCTTCTTCAACAGCTGGAGGATGGTCAAAGACGGTAAGTCCGTCCAGCCAGCCGCCACCTGGCTGTCTCCCCCTGCAGCCTGCTTTTAAGGAAACCTGGCTTGGAAGTCAGACTCCAGGCACTTTCTGTATGACGTTGGGTAAGGGAATTCTCCTCAGTGGGCCTCAGTGGTAAAATGTGGACAATAATAGTACCTATCTCGCTAGGGTATAAAAACATTTTGAAATATTCGAGTAGAGCACCCAGCAACAGTTCCTGACACACAGGAGGTGGTCAATAAATTCTAGCTATTATTCTTTCCTCATCTGGCCTTTAAGATGCCAGGTTTTTCCTACCTCCTTTCCCTGTGCTGGGCTTCCTTCATCTCTGTAGAAAAAATTGATGGGTTTGGTAAGTAAATTGCTCTTCTCTGCCTCCCTCTGGGGTTTTCCACATCTATTAAGTGCCAAGTCAGGGCCATTTTTCTATAGATTTCTGCTACCTTTCCCTACGGTGCACCATTCCTTAAGGGAACATGTGGAAGGAGAAGGAGCCAACTGTCTGAACTGGAGTTTGGAAAAAATCCTGAAGCTTGCCCTGGCCAGTGTTCTGTTAGAGCATCATCCTATGCACCCAAGGGTCGTGGGTTCAATACCTGGTCAGGGCACATACTCAGGTTTCGAGTTCGATACATCCAGTCGGGTTGTGTGTATGAGGCACCGGCCGATATTTCTCTCTCACATCAATGTTTCTCTTTCTCTCCCTCTCTGTCTAGAATCAATGAAAAACATATTCTTGGGTGAGGGTTTAAAAATTTTTTTTCTGAATCTTATCTTCATGCTATTATTTCACGAATGGCCCTTTCTTCCACCCCAAAGCAGGCTGTCTGGACTGCCCCCTCCCCCACGTGTATGAGGCACCGACCGATATTTCTCTCTCATATCAATGTTTCTCTTTCTCTCCCTCTCTGTCTAGAATCAATGAAAAACATATTCTTGGGTGAGGGTTTAAAAATTTTTTTTCTGAATCTTATCTTCATGCTATTATTTCACGAATGGCCCTTTCTTCCACCCCAAAGCAGGCTGTCTGGACTGCCCCCTCCCCCAGCGCAACAGCGCACCCTGCAGGCTGCACTGTGCTCTTCTCTCCCCACTTGTAGACGGAGAAGTTCAGCTGGCTCTACTTCAACCTGAGAGAAAATGTCTGGTGGAGGGAGGGAGCAGTAGTGGGAGATGTCCCCACCCTCCCCTCATCCCCAGGTTCCTTGCAGGTGGAATTGACCCTCTGGTGCGGGGCCTACTGGCCAAGAAGTCCAAGTTGATGAAGCAGAATAAAATGATGACGGGAGAGCTGCGCAACAAGCTTTTCCAGCCCACTCACAAGATCCATGGCTTCGACCTGGCTGCCATTAACATACAGCGTGGCCGGGACCACGGGATGCCTGGTGAGTGGGCCTGGGTCTGACCTGGCCTGGGGAACATGAAGCTACTTTCTGGGGTTCCAGAGGACTCTCATCTGTCATCCTGAGGATCCGGTCAATTCTAAAAGAGCAGGCAGATATACCGATTTTTAAGACTCATTTGCTCATCTGTGAAATGGCATCTCCCATTCTCCCTAATGTAGAAATAAGGAAACAATGGTAACATATCTGGTACCATTTTGGAGGTCCTCAAATGAAAAAAGAGATCACCAAAGGACTTGTAAAACCAGTTTGAAAGCCCAGGGGAAAAAATTAGAAAAGGAGAACAGAGAGAAATTGATGACTATGGGGCCTTCTTTTAGACCGAGGGGAGGCAATTTAATGTTATAATTAAGAGCCAGACTACCTGGATTCAAATTCCACCTGTGCCAGTTCTAGTTATGTGACCTTAGGCAAGTTACTTAACATCTCTGTTCTCCGGTTTCCATATGTGCTTAGGATAGGGTCTGGACCCCCATAACCTGCTAGCCCTCTTGAGTCTGACGTACCACAGGTAGCAAACAATGGAACCTCATCACAAAAGCTAGACTGTCCGGAGCGGATGGAACTGGAGTGGGTATGTCCGTAAGGGGGGCTTTGGACAAGTAGTCCCTGGGATGAGACAGCTTCACTCTCCCTGCCTAGGGTATAACTCCTGGAGAGGCTTCTGCGACCTCTTGCAGCCCCAGACGCTGGCAGAGCTGGGTGCTGTGCTGAAGAACGAAATGCTGGCCAAGAAGTTCCTGGATCTCTATGGGACCCCTAGCAACATCGACATCTGGATTGGGGGCATTGCTGAGCCACTGGTAGAAAGGGGCCGGGTGGGGTCTCTCCTGGCCTGCCTCCTGGGGAAACAGTTCCAGCAGATCCGAGATGGAGACAGGTAAGTGAACCTCAGTGGGAGGGCAGAGGAGGGCAGGCCCTTCCCCGAGGTGGGTGTCCCCACTTCCTGCGTGAGGACGAACACAGACCTCAGCATGGTCCCCATGACCTCCTTCCTTCCCCTTTGGAGGGCAGGGAAGGGTCAACAGCTGGACGGTCTCTACAGACTGTGCTTCTGTTTCTGCAGGTTCTGGTGGGAGAACCCTGGCGTCTTCACTGAGAAGCAGCGGGACTCTCTGCAGAAAATGTCCTTCTCACGCCTCGTCTGTGACAACACCCACATCACCAAAGTCCCGCCAAACCCGTTCCAGGCCAACAGCTACCCCCAAGACTTTGTGGATTGCTCAGCCATTGAGAAGCTGGACCTCTCACCCTGGGCCTCAGAGGGGATTTAGGGACCATCCACACTGTGCGGGGAAGCGCCCTTTGGTCCGTGATGCCATTTCAAGCAAGTTCAATGACCACTCCCTGAGTCCTCCACACCCTGTCCCAGCCCTTCTTTTCAGCCAGGTCTTGCTGCACTTGACAGATGCATACCCCACGCAAGCCCAAGGCCAGAGCCTTGGCCGTTCCAGTTCTTCCACTTGAAATCCGCTGCTCCCATCCCCTCTGCCTGGGGAGATCCTCGTTTGTCATGATGTAGACCTGCCGAGATGCCCTTCCAGTCTAGCTTGCCAGATGTCACCTAGCCTCTCCCTGGGATAAGTCTTGGCCGAGGCTGTGGCCTTTGCACCCTTATCTCTCCTCTTTCTTCTCAACTAGATTGTAAGTTCCTTGAACCAGGGAATTGACCTGCTTCTGAGGGTCTCCTGTGCCACCCAGCAAGGTGCTTGGTACACAGTAAGCACTCAATAAATGCCTGATGATTGACTAAAGATGCTGGCAATGACACTGTTCCCTTCTGGAAGGCAGGCCTTGGAATACATTGCCAAATGACACTGTTCCCTTCTGGAAGGCAGGCCTTGGAATCACTGCCAATTAAGTAACTAGATGTTTACAGTTTCATCACTAAGAGGTGTGCATGGGTCTGGGGGGCTGAGAGGGCTTAGTTTGGTAAAATTTCAAAGAGTTCTCTAAGAAGAGGAGGCAAGGGGCTCCCGGGAAAAGGAGCAGTGGCCATAGAAAGGCAAGAGAGAAGGCCTGGTAATATCAGAGACCAGGGAGGAAAGCCAAGCCTAGATCCCTCTCTATCTAGAGTTAATTTCCCTTCCAGAGGCCCTTCTAGGGTAGACCTTGGAGCCTGGGAGGCCTCTAAAGGGACATTTCCAGAATATTCCTTGTGCTGCTAGCCAACACATATTCATGTATTCTTTTAAAATGACCCCCTGACCCTAGCCAGTTTGGCTCAGTGGATAGAGCATCAGCCTGCAGATTGAAGGGTCCCGGGACAAGGGCACATGACCGGGTTGTGGGCTCGATCCCCAGTAGGGGGCGTGCAGGAGGCAGCTGATCAATGATTCTCTCTCATCATTGATGTTTCTATCTCTCCCTCTCCCTTCCTCTCTGAATTCAATAAAAATACATTTAAAATAAATAAATAACTCTCTGGGCCTCCAGGTGCCCTCCCTGGTGGGATGGGGGTGGGGATGGATGGGAGGTACTTAACCATCTTGTGGGAAAAGCCCAGAAGCCGGAAGACCTGGGCTGCAGCCCTGGCCCTGGTACCAACTTCTTCAAGGCCTCGGAGAAGCCCCTTCACATCTCTGAGCACTATACTCATCATCAGTGAACTGAAGGTAAGTTTTATGCTGCTCTGGTGAGGTCCTGGTGTGGCCTGGGGCTCCTATGGGTACGTTAGCTCTAGCGTCCTACACACTTTCAGGCTCCTAGTTGAGGGTGCCCCCCCTAAATGTGGGAAGAAGGAGGGAGAGGGAATCCATCTTTCAGATTATAGGGGTCGTGCTCCAGGCAATAGGGAAGTACCCTCCTTCCCTTGTCTCAGCTCTGGCCACATAAAGCCAGGACTGAGAAGGAGTCTACTGTGTGAGGGTCCCTGAACCACTGTGCCGGCTGCAGGCATTCAGGATCCAGAGGACCGTTCCCATCACACCTCTGCTCTTGACTTCTTGCAGGACAGTGTTTTGTCTCCTCTGTTTCCAGCATCTGACACATGCCTGACACAGAGTGAGTGTGTAGCAAATATTTACTAGAGCAATGAATGAGCATAAGAACTTGGTGGGCACAATTCCTGTTCTCCAGGAGATGTGGGTGGAAGCTGAGGGAGGAGGGTCTGCTCGGTTTGGCCCGGCCCCTAGGCTTCTAAGAACGGACTGCCTCCCATGTGTGGATCCGCTAAAGGAAGACTGCTGGATACCCTCACCCCCAGTGCAGAAAACACCGGGCCCTGAGGCACAGACCACACTAGTTCAAGTTCAGAGCCCAGAGCAAGCCCTATAGTGAGACTAGCCCCACTGCAGACACAGAGTAAAGATCCCCATCAGTGCTACTTTATTATCATAAATGTCAGATACAAACAAATGGTACAAAAGAGCCAACGTGCCCCAGTTCCTCTCCAGGCAGCTCCTGTGAATAAGCAAGAGAACAGGGTAAGGAAGCAAAAAGGGAGCCATGGACTGAGCCTGGCTCACCTCAGCCTGTAACTCAACCACCACATACAGCCCAGGTGCTAATGGCCATTCCTCCAGGGGTGCCTGGGTCGCCTTTTCGAACCAGGACACTGCTGAGGTGTAAGCTCCACAAGGGAAGAACCTGTCTGCCTTTCTCTGTGGTTCCCATGCCTACCACAGTGCCTGGCAGATATTAAGTGCTCAATGATCAAAGAACTAGAGGATGCAGATGAGCCCTGTAAGGAACCGTGACCCCTGTATAGCAGCTGTTCCCAAGAAGGAAACCCAAGCTTAGCAAGATGGAGTACTGTGTTCAAGGTCACACAGTGGGTAAGCTGCAGAACAGGGATTTGAACCCAAGCAGCCCGGCTCCTGAGCTCACTGTGCTCCTCACCAATCCACTCTGCTGACTTCCATACACTTGGTACTCACAGAAACAGCAAACACACACTCACACAAAGGACACACATACATAGTACACAACACACTACCCATGTTCACAGATAACACACACACACGCACATAATGCAATTTATATACATTGCACATGAGCACACGCACATATGAATGAATGTCTAGTCATTCGTTTTCTCGGCCGGCACCCAGAACAGGGATGGGCTGGCCTAGGGAAGAAAGAGCTGTGGTTGCAATTGCCAGCCCAGGTGTATCCAGCTTTCACCTCCTTGCTGCGCCCCCTTACCCAGCCTCTAGTCCCTCTCCCTCCAGGAAGCCAGGTCCAACTTGGGGACTCGACTGCAGCTGACAAAGTCCCGAGGGAACTTGTTGGACATGAAGATGTTGTTCTTGGACACGGTGGTGATGCCTGTGTTGTCGCAGATGATGCGAGGCAAGGTGACACTGGCCAGGGCCTGCTGCTGCCGCGTGCTGAATACGCCCCTGTTCTGCCACCAAAACCTGCGTGGGAACACCACGGTCATGGCACCTGAGGCTCTCCTGGGCTGGGAGGGCATCACCTGGCTTGGGCCACCCCCTGGATGCAAGAGAACCACAGCAGACACTGCTCTACAGCACAGGAGAGCTCCGGGCCCTCAGGCAACCAGGGGTTTCCAAACACGTGCAGCCCCACTCAATGCACAGAGTAAAGCCCAGCTACCCAGAGGCCCTCCCCCAGCAACCTGCGGGCACCACGAACGCTGGACAGGGAGCTGGGCCCACACTGGGATGGAGAGGATCGTGGGGGTGTTTATAATCTTTCCACCTAGAGAGGGACACCTTTTTCTAATCTCCCCAAAGGCACACCACAGGCTAGGAGAGAACTAGGGACGACGGATGTCAGAATCACGATGAAATGACACTAGAAGCATATGACTGTTCAATAGTGACTGACAGCACCACGGTGGCACCCGAAACACAGAAGTAAAGGGTGGCATTTTCTCAGTCTTCCCTCCTTCCCAGCCAGGGATCCAGGTCCCTCCTTGCTGCACCCCCAACAGGTTCAGAGCACATGCAGGATCCCCTTAAGGTTCCCTGAAATACACTGGGAAGTCCTGGATTCCTTCCAGCCCTTCATTTCACTGGAAAAAGTTGGGGACCCGAGAGATCTGGGACAGGACCAGGGCCACACTGTGTGCCTGGACCACCCCACCTGCCTCCTCACCGATCGCCATCACGGAGCTGCCTGAACTGGGTCCCGATGAGGCAGGCGAGGAGCGGGCCCACGCGGCCCTGGGGATTCAGGGGCTCGGCCACGCCGCCCATCCAGATGTCAATGTTGTTGGGTGTGCCGTACTGCGCCATCAGCTTCCTCGCCAGGTCCATGTTCTTCAGCACGGTGGCCAGCTCGCCCACTGTTTGGGGCTGAGGCAGCCCACAAAAGCGCCTCCAAGCATTGTACCCTGTGTCGGGGGAGCGGAGAGGTGGCTGTGGGTGCATCTCAGAGAACCCTCCTTCCCGATACACCAAGGCCATATACAGAGTCAGAGAAGGGAGGGGAGGTCACCGAAGGGCTTCTCCCGGGCTACAGACCCCTGGGGACCCTGAACCCTTAGCTCAGGCCAAGGGGACAGCTGAGTTGCTCCAGGACCCTCTCTGTCTTTCCTTTGCCCTCCCACCCTAAAGCAAATCCTCAATTGCCACAACTCCTGTCAGGTCCAAACGTAAGGACATCTCATTGTCCCCCTCTGGAGACCTCAGACCTGTGAGGGGTGAGGTGTGTCTAGAAGGCTCAGCCACAATGGCTGGGCCATTACACAGGCACAGGCTTGGAGGTCAGGCCTATTTGGGTTCCAGCTCTGCTCCTGACTTGGCTGGAGAACTAGGCAGGTCTTGAATCTCTGCAAGCCTGTTTCCTCACCAGTAAAATGTGAGTGATGATACTCTTCCCCTCAGAGCTCATGTAACATGAAGCAAAATGAAATGATGATGGAGACGGATTTTCAGACTATAGAAGTGAGGAGGCTTGTTGTTATCATGATGATGCTCCAAGTTTAAGGGTTACAGCAACGCAGAGGAGGCCAGGAATTACTGAAAATGGACAAGGTGGGCCCAGGGAGAGGTAAGTGCCTGACCTCAGACCGATTCCTAAGAGCAGGTGCTAGGGCTGGAGGAAGTCTTGGGTAGCTGGGGAGACTGGAGTGGGGAACGGGGAGGGGGATCCTGCGGCCCCTCACCTGGGAGGCCGTGGTCCCGGCTACGCTGCATGTTTAGAGCCGGCAGGTCCAGCCCAATCCTCATGACCTGCTCAAACAGCCGCTCCCGGATCTCATCCACCACAATCTGGTTCTGGCGATTCAGCTTGGCAGGGGTGGCCATGAGGCCCCGGAGGATGGGGTCAATGCCACCTGGGGGCAAGAGGAGCAAGGTTGGGGGGAAGGGGTGTCTGGCTCCGTGTCAGAGCTCAGGTAGGCGTCAGGGATAAGTCCAAGGTAGGGTCAGGCGGGTTGCAGAAGAGGGCTGGGCATATGCCGCTCCCGGTGCCAAGGTGGTCCCAGTGGGAAGGCTCTCACTGGGACATCAAGGTCTCAGGGGATTATGTCGTTCCGACTTGCAAGGTCAGGGTGCTCCCAACACCCCTGGCCTCCTGGGTCTCAGAGTCACAACACACAGTAAGGAGCCAGCTCCCTATGTGTCATCTCCACCCCATTCTTTACTGTTAGATGTAGAAGCAAGTCAGGTAAACTGAGGCTGGAAAGTCAGATCAGAGCCCCAGAAGTGGAAGGAAAGAGGATTTCTCCTGCCCTAGCTCCCTGTGGCCAAACCCACCCGTACCCGACCCTCTCTCCTGGCCTCGGTCCCGCTCACCTTCCAGCACAACCCTCCAGGAGGCAAAAAAGACCTGGCTGAGTGGAAC